TGACCCTCCTAGGTCACTAGACCTAAATTCCGATCAGGAGATCAGGCGAACCTAGCAACTACTTATATAATCTATCATGACTGCTGCCTTCACACTTCATGACAGTTAACGGTACTCAAATATGAATCGATTTGACAATGTTTATGTATAAAATACGTATATTATCGTGCTAAATACGCCAGAATTAACCCGTAAGCAATTTTTTTTACCTTGCTGATAATTTATGGTTTTGCCATCCGTGTCTTAGTAGCATCACTGAATCACATGAAATTCACGATATTTCTTAGGCCAGAAACACAAAATATAAAATACATCGACTTTTCCCGATCTCTCTGACCCATGAGAATCATGGTCTGTAACTCGGTGTGGAATGACACAGCTGGACTTCTGAAAGAAAGTACTGCAGTCAACAGTAGTAGTAGTGGTGGTAGACCAGATGGGTTCTCCTATTGCGTCATAGTTAACAGTATTTCAGGTTTGTATTATCGGGCAGATGCAGAAGTGTGTGTTTGTGGCTGGTTTGGTCCTTGCATTTAAAAAGTTTATTATTCAATTTTTTGTACTGGTTCGATTTTGTGTTTATAGTATTTTTGCACATCGTATAAATCTTTTTTTAAACCTCAATTTTGTTGTTGTGACCCCTTTGCACATTTTCAACAGCATATTTGATTTTGTCTTCAACTGAATTTATTTTTGCTCTTAATTATTATTTAAACCTTACTTCTTTTCAGTTTAATTCCGTTTTTAAATTCCAGTTTCTTCTTTCTTGATCATTTTTCGATTTTCTTCTTAGTCTTCCCTAATTTTTTCTGTTTTTTTTTATTTTATTCTTGTTAATCTTTTGCTCCTTTCTATTTGACTTTGTTTTTCTGCTTGTTCTCCTTTCCACTGTTTCATCATCTCCAACAATTTTCTATTTCATTTCAGCCGCTTGTCGATATCTTGAAATGGAATTTCACATTCCATTTTATTTTCATCAAAATAACCCCGCTCATGACGACAGCGTTGCAACAGATTCTATTACTGGTGGGTTCTTTTTGATTAAAAATAACGCAAAGTCCAGTCCACTTAATAACTATTTACTTCAACCCCTAACGTACAAGTTCTACAGACTATGTTCAATGATAGGTCTAACTCACACATAAAACTAAACAGTCACTTATTTGCAAACTCTTTATTTTGTTGAAGCACAAATTCAAAATTGTTTCTTATTTTGTCATTTGTTAATAGTTGGATCATTGTGTTTGATATGAATATAGATTTTATTATTTTGAAAATTTATTTCTTAAATAAAAAAAATTAATTTGTTATATTTCCCTTTTTGTTTGTTTAGTTTCATTTCCTAATATTTTGTTACTTTGCAATTTATATTCATTTTAAAAAATCGATTTTAAATCACAATTGAACGTTCTGCTAAACACACCTGAATCTTGTGTAATGTTACTGGAATTATTACCTATGATAATAACTATACAAGCGGGGTGCTTAAGTAATGAATCCTAATCACCTTTTTTTTATGAGATTGCATTTTCTTAGTTAGACTGGTATATTACCTACATTATTCACTGGGTTAATTTTTAGTTTTAATCTATTTAGGTAGTTTGCTTGGATCAAAAGTTATTAATTTTTCTTTTGGAATATTTTTCACCTCAAACGAACCTACTGAATCTTTACTAGGTAGATCCACTGTGAACAAATTTGTTTTGTTTCTGAAGTGGTCTAATCTCAGTAGATCTATAGCATGTTCAGTCTGAAAAGGTGTGATCTTGCTCAAGTGAATCTGAATTGATTAGTTCTGAATTAACAAAATACAAATGTAAGCAAACAGAAAATGTTTAAATCTGAAACAATCTAACCTGAATTAATTCAACTCAATACAAACTAATATAATGTGAGTTGAGTTTGAAGTATCTGATTCAAAAGTCTGAATTTCAATAGGCTTCTTTTATTTTGCTTTCACATCACATTCAGTACACAATCTTTAGTTGGTCAGAAAAACAAAATTTGCACAATATCCATACATTTTCCACACCTTATGACATACTCTGTCATCTTAAAACAGATGTCTAAAAAATCTCAATGTACCTACCACTATGTATAATAAATTTTTGGACTTGTTCAAGATGGTATGTGTGTGTGTGTGTGTGTATGTATGCATATGTTTGTATGCATGTGTATTTACACACAAACACACACAACATCTATGGGTGTACTTATTTTTAACTGAAAATAACCATAATCTACCACCACACCAGTACATTCTGTCATAGTTCATGATTCTTAGTCGTCAGAATCAAGAGAAGAAATTTCTGCTGGTAACATCAACACAACTTATATTAACTGAGCAATGTAATGCATCTTAACATTTTATAACACTATTTTAAACTTTAATATTAGTCTCATCTCATTTAGTCTTGTTACATGCTTATATTCTTCACTGAAACTCAAATTCACTATATAACTAAATTATCATTCACTTAAAAATGTAATTCAAATAGCGTGTCATTAGAATAAAAAGCATTTACATTAAAAATAATTATGATAGACTGGAAAATAAATTTATTTAATTCTTTAGAAAGTATTATTTCTCTCTTTCCTTAATGCTATCAGAGTTTACATCTTCATAGAATTAACCTACAATGGTGACCTTTCTTCAAGTTCACATTAGCAAAAAGTGATATTAACTTCAACTATTATTTCACAACCAACAATGTAGGAAAGGCATACACTGTAGTTATTTTATAATATAATTACAGCATATTTTTTCTTTTTTTTTCATCACCTGAAAAATATCCCCATCTATTCTTGTTTATATCTGACAATGAGATATTAAGTGTTGGTAAAACAAACAAAAGTACAAAGAGTATCTCAAAATTTGATGCTCATTATAGCTGTTTGTACAGTACCTAGAACACTACATATGTAACACTGAATTGACTGTTTACATTACTTAATGATTTTCTCAAATAAAAAGCTTTTCAAATGCTGAACTCATTCAGGTAAAAATTACATTATCTTTAATAAACTGTACCTTCTATCTCTTGAAAATCTTCATTACAGACAAGAAAATCTGCAATAATTTCTTAACTGCAGCTTCCCTTAATCAAAATTAGATGCAAGGAAACTAGAAAAAATATTTGGCAAAAATAATTATTCTTAGTTTTTCACTGTGAAGAGAATGAAATTGAGGCAATTTTGCAACACCCTTCTAGTCATGAGCGAGTTAAAGAAATTTTGGCTTGATTTGTTTCAATGTTCAATTTTGTTCATGTAAATCTATACAAAGGCTATCTACACTAGACATCCTTAGTTTTGATCTCACAAGACTAGAGGGAAGGAAGCTAGTTAAAAGCACCCACCACCAATTATTGGGCTACTCTAATAAATTTTTTTTTATCATAATGCATTATAATGGCCCCAAAGTATGTAAGGATTGTTTGTTTGGAATTAAGCACAAAACTACACAATGGGCTATCTGTGCTCTGCCCACCATGGGTATCGAAACCTGGTTTCTTGCGTTGTAAGTCCACAGACATACCACTGTGCCACTGGGGAGCAGTATACAAGGATACAAAAAGTTTTATCAAAATACCAATCTCTCAAAAAAAGAATGGTCTTCTCAACATTCTCAAATGAACCTACTGAATCTTAACCAGGTAGATGCACTATGAACAAATATATTTTAATTGTTTCTGAAATGGTATGATCCTATTCTTGTGAATCTGATTTGATCTGTTCTGAATTAACAAAATACAACTGTCACCAAATAGAAAGTGTCTAGAAAAAATGTCAGAAAACATGAGAACATTAAAGAGGAGAGATATCCTAGACACACTTTCTATTTTAAATTTGAGAATCTGCAGTGCAAGTTAAATAAATCTGAAAATATCATTGTTAATATTTCTTAGAAACATTTAGAATAAAATCTACATATTACACAAAAAATGAATAAATTCACCATCTACTTTATAATAAAGATGTACCACCCACATTAAGCTAGTCATTATTGATTCACGTATGATATAGGTAATTAGGAATAACAATATCATACGTGAATTTAAGTATGATAATACTTAACTCTAAGTTGTTGTTGTTGTTTTCTTTAGATACGTGTAGCCTGTTGTTAAGTTTATTAATTGCTATACATACAAATTGACAACACTACAAGGTATTATGGGAATTTAACAATCCAGTCTTGATTACCATCTGAAAAAATCTTTTCAGCACAAATATTTCTCAACGTATGTTGTTTGGATATTCAAAAACTGACTAAACTAATACCTAAATGTACACATTCACAACACTGAAAAAGAGAACTTGCCATGTGCAATTAAGTTTTAGAATTCATTATATAACTTTCACAAAATATCAACAACTTCAGCTCTTAATATAACACTAGTAAAAAAGTATTTTGCTTGTTAATTAAATCACTTCTGAATAAAGGACTAGTCCATAATTCATATACTGGACAAGAAAATAAACTTATCATACCAGTATAACAGAAAATAACAGACAAATACATTTCTATTTATTTTCTAATCAATTCAATTAAATATTTTACAAGCATCACAAAAATCTGAAACTTGGACCACAATGTCAACACATTCAACAAAAAATATTTATTTATTATCTTCATAAAGCAAATTAAGAAAACTATAAAAAGGTTAGTTATATTTTTATCCACTTAGCATTTTTATGCCATGATCAGTAGACAGTGATTTTTCAAAATTATAAGATTCTTTTATTAACTTCTCCGTTGCATGTATATATATATTTACTTCTGTGATATATTTTTATTCATATCTACACTTCTTTAAAACCCTTTATGTAGTAATCAGTACAATAACTTATCAAGACATATGTAAACAAAACATTAATGCAAAGAGAGGGAAAACCTTTCTTCGTTACTTCTGGTTCAATTTTATCAATTTATGTTTATCTTATGTTAGTTAATAAATGTGAAACAAATTGCTTAATTTTCTAGCATAATGTCTTAAAAACTTCATTTATATTTTCATTTGAGCATTCCCTTTTCCATATCAATTGTATAAGCCAATAACCTAAATAAGTTATCAACTTTGTATCTGTTCCATTACTATTAAAATTTTCAGGTACAAAGTGATGAAAAGTTAAATATCAATCACACAATTTTAGCAGGTATTTCTAATGACAAGTCACAATAATTTATATCATTGGTATTAGTTTTATCGAGCTCAAGTACTTTTTTATTTGTACAATGAATTAATGTCCTCAACATAAGTAAATTTCTAAATGTTGGGGAGCTTACACTTATTTAATACAAAATTAGTTAAAAATATGTTGTCAAACAACATTTTAATCATTCATTAGTCAAAAATTGACTATTCTTCCAGTTAATTTAAAGTATTAAGACACAAAAATGTATAATTATCAAATCATACTTTCATATTTACTGTCCATTTCTTTACAGATTTATAAGCAAGCAGTGATGGTTAGAATTTTAAAATGAAAACTTATAAAACTTAAACACCTGCGTTATATACAATTTACGTAAAAATCTAACCAAAAGAGGTAAGTAGTTGATACTTCAATCTACATATTTCTTAAAAAGTGTTTAAAGTATCCTGTATCATCCATTAGATACAATGCTGAGTGTCAATAATTATATTTATCAGAAATTTTGCAGTGATATTTTGTAAAGTATTTCTAACTAAAGTCTACCTTGATAAAGAATAAAAATTAACTTCTGAAAACAGTGACACCAATTTATTTTTTAAACGTAATACACTTTTGATCAAAACTATTTTCACACTTACACTGTTTCAGATAAATTTCACTTCAGTTGAAATTATTCACCTCTTTCATCACTATTGAATTTTATAAATACTAGAATAAAACAAATATTTCATTAAAGTGCAAACTGAACAATTTGCTGTTGTTTTCAATATATTCTTGAAGTTTTTTTAGTTGACAGATTAGCAAATGTTCATTGCTGTTGTTAAATAGTTTCTTTTGATTGTCTCAAAATGTTTACATGCTATGTACAGTGCACAGTTAATTATTAAGAAATAACTAAATATAATAAATATGTCATTGTAAACTGAAAAAGAATGATTTATAAGCATGATGAAGTGGTTTCATTTTTGGATAACATACTACATGTTTCAACAGAACATTAGTTGGTCTTCTTCAGAGAATATGTAATATGTTCTTCAAAAATAAAACCACTTCATTATGATTATAAATTATTGATTGTAAATTTCCTATCATATTGGCATAATGTGCTTCCACACACAAGTAAAAATAAACATGTCATTAAGCTTTGCAAAGAATTTTATTATTTGTGTTTAATTCCAACATAAAGATTGAATCAGAAAATCAGACTTTTATCTGATTTTGTTTGTCACATTCTTTACATAATGACACTAAACAACTGCCTCAAGTCTAAAGAGGATGAGCCATAAGAAAACCTTTAGAGAAATGATAGGCAATATGTTTCTATTTGCAACTAAAAACTAGATATATTTTTTTGCTTGTCAAAAATAAAGATAGAAGAAAGTTTGTGAATGATGTAAAATAATTTTCCAACCTACAAATATGAAGATGGGCATGATCTAGATACAAGAAATTCAGAAACGAATATTTCATCATGTACTGTGTTATGTTAAAAAAATATTTTAAATACCTAATCATTAGTTTCAGTGTCTGAGATTTTTTTTATTTTTTACATTTAGATTAAATTATACAAAAATACAAATTCAAGTAGAAACATAAGATTTTGGGTGATATCTGTAGGAATTTGATATTCATATCTTGCAAAATAGATGTAGATTATGCCACTAAAAATGCAACTTTAAAAACTGCAATCACAATACGATAGGAAAATTCATTAACAGGCTACAGTTGTGTGTAATTATCAGTACTCTAGTAGGTAGTAGAATAACAAAAGTTTAACACATTTAAAGTTGAGTTTTCCATCACAAGAAGAAAAAATAGTTCTGTCTTGATTGTAATACTAATTTTAAAATAGTAAATAATATATTTTCACCATATAGTAATAGTATGAAAGACAAATACCTTAGTATGAACAGTACTTTTACATACTTAAATATATAAAGATAGCCTCTATTCACTTAAACATTTACATGCAATAAGTGCTATACACATTTAATTTTAACTTTATTCAAATCACACAACCATGTTCAACCTTCATGTAACTGATTTGATCATGAAATTGTCAGTAATGTACATAACAGGCAACTGCTTCTAAAAAAAATAATGCAAGAAAAAATTGTCAAAATGTTCACGTAAAAGTTATGTCATGCTCAATTCTACTTTCAACCTGTGCAACCTCTTAACTCTCAGCATCTCTTTTCTAGTTTCAGTTTTGTTGGATTCTGACAGCTCAACATTCACATGTACTGAAGCAACAGTAGACTACAGACAAGTATCCAAACATATACAGATTTCTTTGTTATACCAAAACATATTTAAAAAATTCTTCGTGGCACTTGAAATTTTCTTTTTATTCAAATTACCTGAAAGTACAAATTTTTTTTTATAAGTTGTCAACAAACAATGTAAGTAACAGGTATCCCATATACTAAAAAGATTAGAAACAGCTGATATGGAATTGAAAAAATAACATCATACAATAAAACTATGTTTCACAACTACTAATATGGTATCAAAACACAAAATTTAAATACACCTAACAGTTTTATTGCAGGGGCATAACCAGAGAGTTGAAGACCACCCCAATATTCAAAAAAGTCAAAAAGTTCCACTATTTTTTCTTTTTCTTAAATAAACACTTAATCTTCAGGTAAATTATTTAACTTCTCTGCATAGAAGAAATATTAAAAAAAAGACCCTCCTTCCCCACACTATGTAGTGTTGACTATACCCCTGTATTGTATGGTGGGTTGTTTCAATCCCATTTTAGTTACTTACAATTTTTAATACAAATGAAATTACATAAACATTCACAAAACAAACATGCATTACCAATGCCTTTTAACTTTATTTATTATGGACAAAAAGAAATCCCATAATTCAGCAAAATCCATTTGGCACCAAATGTTACTCATGTCTTACCAACTTGTGTGAAGTAAGAATTGCAATTTGAACCTCTAATTAATATAGCATCTATATATACTATAGTCACAGAATTAAGGCATATGTAATTAATTTATGAAAGGCAACACTGGATGGCTTATAAAAGTCTACCAACTTTGTGGCAGTATTCAAACACAATTTTAAGACACACACACACACACAAGAAAAAACTTAACATAACCCACTAACCCTTTTCTGTCCAGACAACATTTTTTTTATCTCCTGATATTCTTCATGAGTTTCAAAGTTTTTTGCATCAATGGTGCTGTTTTTGGTTCTGTAAATAAATAAGACATTAAGGGTTTGATGAATAAACATTTTTCAATGACTAAGACTTTATATCTAAAATATTCCAATATTTTACACTGGTCAAAGTTTAGCAAATTAAACAAATCATACTTTTCATTACTTTTTAACCGTTTAAATCACTGAATGCACATACTTCTATTACAATTACCATTTTTAGTTTTGAAACTGGGGCTAAACTTTGCAAAAGCAAACAAAATTAAGGTTTTCGTAATAATGTTCTGGATTTCAAAACACAATATCAAGATTTACACTTTTCAAGTGCTTTCATGAAAACATTTCACAATGTATTTCATGATTCTTGACATATTTATGTAGCCTAGATTATGGTTGACTAATATAACTGCTATTAAAAGTGGGCAATTACTCTGATTACTTATGAGCATTGATTGCACCAATCAGTCATATAAGATAATCAAGTAATCAAAATATGTTTCCAATCATTAATGTTTTTGAATATTCAAACTATCTGAGTAATTAAAATATCACTAGAATATATCATTATAATTTTTGATTAATTCAGAGATGTTCAGATTAACTGATTAGTGTCATTATTCACATAAATAATCAACTAATAAAATTAGTGTTTCCAATTAATAATACTGGTAAAAGTAATGTATTAATTGCATGTAGTCAATTAATGAGCTTACAATTAATAATCATATTCCCCTAATCATTCAGCTTTAACTGTTACTTTAAACTAAACAGTTTTTCCAAATTAAATGAAACAATTTTATTCTTTAAGTTCATGTTTATATAATTAATAAATTGGAAATGTGTTACTCAAAATGATGCTACATTATAGAATGATTGTTTAAATGTATACAAAATTATATTTATGATTGAATTCAAAAGCAAAACTTACAGGTTGTACAAAAAATTGTAAAATATTTTCTTTTTTGAAAAAACAAAATTAATTCAGTATAATGAATTGGTTCAAGATTCTGTCTAAATTTCTCAATGAACTGTACATAACAAGCAAGTTCAAAGTAATTTTAATTGCATTAATAGCAATGTAAACAATACATAACTCAGTTTACAAATATTTTACCTCTATTCTGCAATAGTTGCACAGTTTAAAGGACGATTTAATACTTAACTTGTGAAAGTTTGAATAAGGGTGACAATATACTTCATCACATTTCTCAATTTCAATTCACAAAAAACAATAATTTTTTATTTTGTTTAGCTTATAATTTTCTATAATATTAGATGGCAGCTATTCAAGCTTTTTTTCTTTGTGAAACCCTTGAGTAATAACAGTTTTTGCAGCAAACCCCTTTTAAGCAGTAATAAATTTTGTAAAATAAAATATCTTTTGAATGTATTGAAAATAAAGTTCTATAACACATAGTATGTAACATATTTACAATAAAATCTGAATCTCTGATATTGTCATCAGTTTACAGTTAGTACCCAGTAAAACTGAAATAAAATTCTTGAAGCAAAATAATTTTTTTTTTAAATAAAACAATTTAAATAAAACTAATGATGCTTCTGAGCTTGTTTTGAAGAATACAGTGCTTTAACGTTCAGCTCAACAGAAGAGAGATATGGTCTTAAATCTGGTTCTGCATAAAGCTATTTCCTTCTGTAAATATTTTATTAAATTAGAAGGAAATTAAAATATTGGTAAGAACTGTAGAAACAGGAAAGTGAAAAAGATGCCATTACCAAATTTTTCTTGTGAACCACTGGTTGTGAAATGCTGTTCTATAGCAATCCTTTTCTATTAAATGTGAAGTTTTTGGAATTGTATATCAACATTATTTGACTGTAAGTACACAAAAAGTACTAATAAATGCTTTTTATGGCCTTTTCCTTTACTGTTGAAACACATATGTTCATAAGGATTTACCTTACTCTAAATAAATATGGACAAACTTGGGATAGAGAAAATTATAAACACTTTCAAGTTATCCAAGAGTTCAAGAGACAAAACAGCTTTATTATATACACACACACTATGTATGTATGTAAAATAACATACTCTTTAACTGACTGGATGAATTCGATGAGCTGCTACTAGACATCGCTGCATTTATCACTGGTGCTTGTGGACGAGGTGTTCCTTTCCCTAGTGGCCCTGCTTTCATTGGGTGACTAACTGGAAGTCCTGTTCCAAGCTTGGCTTGTTTGCGAGCTACTTCACGAGGAGGTTTAGCAGCTGTGTCGACATAAGCTAGTTTTGTTTGTCGTTCTATTGTCAAAGAAAAAAAATTTTGAATATATGAATAGTTATTTTTTTATTCTTCCCTAAATGAAACAAGACAAAATCTGTTTCTGTAAATTTGTTTAGCTTTCTGTAACAAATTCTTTTTGTTGTTTATTTGAACCAAAAGAAAACATCAAAACATACCACTTCTAATACAATTGGAAATAATCTACAAAGATACACAGATATCCTTCTATTTTTTGCTTCTCTTCAAGTGCAACTACTTAACACACCAACAAACATCACATATCCAGGAATTAAGCTTACCACTCTTAGTTCAAAAGTTTTATTAGCCATTTACCACCATCCATAAATTAAATCGACTGAATATAAATTGCTGTGTGGTTAAATAGAACAATGTAACAAACCTTTGAAGATACTCAAAACATGTAAAATTTGTAACTGTATTAATAATATTTAGATAAATAAATCCTATGTACATGATGAAAAAGTTTATAACCTAAACTTAGTTGAGTTTAATTTTACCAATTTAATTATATTTGCTGTATTCCAACAGCCTGTCTAAGGTATGCAAGGAAATGGGTATCGACCAGGTACAAAGTGTACAAGTCAAAAACTTACCACAGATCCACTGGGAGATCTTGAAGCAATAAGAAGAAAGTAGAACAACAACAAACCTCCATCAAAGTGAACAACATGGAGGCATGGCAACAGGAGCAGGAAAAAACTAGCAAAATCACTCTCGTCTTGAACATACAGAAAAAAATGAATATGCGTGGACCATTGACCTGAATAACCAGCTGTAAAAAAAAAAGGGTGTGAAAGGTAAAATCTCCTGAAGAGGTGTAGTGACACAGACCAAAATAAGAAGGTGCTGGAAAAAGAGAGTCCAAATTGTCTTTTTCCTCAGCAACATTGTCAGGTTGCAAAGGAAAAGAAATCACTGGCCAAACATACAAATTTAGCTCCCTGTGAATTAAGGTATGTACTTCCTCTGCAGATAGTCATATCAGTAGTTTTGTTGACTGTAACGGGAACTATTGTAGTCGATACATTGAATCACAATTCATACGAAATTCTCTTATAATTTGGTAACAAGAAAAAATGCAAAGAAAAAAAAATCTTTGAAACAGTTGAATGCAAACACAGTATGAGAAAACTGTTGGACAAAAAATCTGAAATGGTAAATAAGCACAATCACACATGCAAAAAAAACACACGTCTAAACAATGTTGTGCCAATCGAGAAAGTGAGGATTGAGCAGGAATAGCAGAGGGTGCTAGTTCTGCCAATACTATTGGTGGATAGTACTCACATGATATTTACATGTTCAAAAATGATGCACAATTGATGGGATATGTAAACTTGTGCACAGAACATGAACATTTTTTAGCAATGCTTAGAGGGCAGAAAGAAGATCAAGATACCTTTGTATGAGAGAGGTAAAACCATATCAGAAGTAAAATTTATGCCAATTCAATTGAATAAGGCTAAATAAAAGCCTCGTTATAAAATTCATTTTATGATTAACTTAAAAACTTAAATCAGTTGGTCATGTCCTCCCCCCACTTGTTATTCAATAAAACTGATAAAAAAGAATAGGAGTTTATTAATACATTGTTATCCTTATTCAAGGCCCTGAAATTTGCATTTCATACAGTTTTGGACTGTTGATCAGAAAATTTTGTAAGGCTCGTTAAGTAATAATAACACGTAATAAAAAACATTTTGTAAATGTAAAATAATGTAGGGATAGCAGTATCAAAAAGAATGCAAACAAGAATAAAGGGATGATACAGCTACACATAGTTCACACCCCTACATGACTTTCAACATAAAAATTCAATGTTACACTGTACACGAGTACAAAATAGTTACAAGGTTGGTCAATTCGGCCAACCCTGCAGTGAGAGCCTGTAATAATAAAGACATGTTTTGACTCAACTTTGTTTTCCTTGTATGCAAGTCTTAGGCTCTTAATTACACTACATTGATGCCTACCCTGACATGACCATGATAAAAAGATAAACAAACTGCATACCACCAATCAGGAATATATATAACTTCCAACTATAGTAATATTAAAGTCAAATATGCATTTTACAGTTTAATATTCAATTTTAATATTGAAAGTCATGTAGGGATGATCTATGTATAGCTGTATGATCCCTATATTCTTGTTTGCATTCTTTTTGGCACTGCCATACCTACATCATTTTACATTTTAAAAATGTTTTTTTTATTACTTGTTTTGTGACAGTTTTCCCTTAACTGAAAGTTAGTGTATTCTATGAATGTGTATAATAAAATTTAATATTATGTGTATTGCTTTTTGTTTTTACTGCTTCACTTCATATATAATATAGGGATTGGCTCCCTAAAGACATTGACTGTATGGTGTACAAAGCATTGAGTATTCTACATGTTACAGTCATCTATTATTGACTGTTAATTTTTGTTTCACCCTGTACTTAAGCCATTTAATGAAACACCAAGGGGTAATGATAGCATCATTTACAGTAAAATTATTATTTTATTTTTTAATTACTACTAGTTATTACAACTAAGTGATGACATTGTGCACTACTCAGAAACACAGAGAGTGGATTTAGGTTTAACTTGACATTAGTGATAAAGTAGTTGTACAGTTATTTCAACTGAAACAAGAAGAAGAAAGATGAACAATTTGATGGGTTGGACACTTTCTGGTTTGGTATCTTAGCAATGGTTTATTGCCATGTTTTAGGGCTTATTGGGTAGAGAAACAAATGAAAGTGAGTGGCAATCATCTTTTAAAGTAAAACTCTGTCATTGTTGATTTTTTAGCATGTATATTTGCATTATGCCTATTCAGTACCTTGGCCATCCCTACATATAGTCTACCAACTCTATGATATGGATGAAACACAACAAAATCCTATTTGAAAAATGCTATTTATTAAACAAAAAAAATGTATAGGACATAATTATGTATGTGTATATTGACAATAAATTAAACTACCAATCACTGCATTAGATGGCTCTTCAATTATTAATGACTGACAGGCATAAATCTAAAAACATAGGAATACTTACATAGGGAAGGGGAACATGTTCCATTATACCATAAATTACTTACTAGTCAACTACATCTACATAATCAGTACATAATCAATATTTAGGCAAGTGTCATAGGCTGTCCTTGCAAATTACCTAGCAACTATCTCACTTTGAAACCAAATTTATACCCATCTACAGACACATAAAACTCTGATTTTTTAAATTACCAGTAGAGGTAATTGCATTGTTTTATTAGCCATTAAACTAAAGTAGAAATTAATCACAAGAAAAATGTTACTAGTAATTACTATTTGATCACCACATTCCTCATTTAGATTCTACAATATTTGACATTGTAAAGATGCTCCATAAAAGGTCATAAGCACCAAATATTTGAGAAACAAAGACCTTTGTTCTAAAGCATTTAATTGTTTTCCCATCAAAAAAAATCACACAACCACATAATGAACAAAATATATTATAATTCCATTCTGAAGAAAATAATAGTTCCAGTATTTGAAAACTCACTTCTAGAAGTTTTAAGGATTGATGTGGCTAGTTGCACTGTAGTTGGAAAACATTATCACATTTTATACTCAAATTAATATTCAATACATCATTGAATCTAAGTATTAGAAATACAATTGCTTTTAGGTAATTGTTAGATTACGTGGTTTAGTACTAGCCTATCATCACAGTGAGCTGAGTTTGATCATCTGTAGAATCATCACATAACTAAGAATTCCTTAAAATATAAATAAATATACATACATGAACATTTGTGTATATATATATATATATATATATATATATAATTATTTATTTATATAGAAACAAAAACTGAAATACTGCATTAC